TGGTGCTGGAGCTTGGTGTTTTACAGCTCCTTGAGCTGCTGGTGCTGGAGATGCTGGAGGTGCTGGTGCTGCTGGAGCTGGAGGTGCTGGAGGTGCTACTGGAGGTGCTGGTGCTACTGGTGCTGGAGGTGCTGCTGGTGCAGGAGGCGGTGGAGCTGGAGGTACTGGAGCTGCTGGTCCTGGAGGTGCTCGTACTAGAGGTGCTGGAGCTGCCGAAGCTGGTCGTGCTGTTGGTGCTGGAGGTGCTACTGGAGGTGCTGGTGCTACTGGTGCTGGAGGTGCTGGAGGTGCTGCTGGTGCTGGAGGTACTGGAGGTGCTGGAGCTGCTGGTCATGGAGGTACTCGTACTAGAGGTGCTGGAGCTGCCCGAGCTGGTGGTTCTGCTGGTGCTGGAGGTGCTCCTGGAGGTGCTGGTACTACTGGTGCTGGATGTGCTGCTGGTGCTGCTGGTGCTGGAAGTGCAGGGGGTACTGGAGCTGCTGGCACTGGAGGTGCTGGTGCTGCTGGTGCTGGAGGTGCTGCTGGAGCTGGAGGTGCTGCTAGAGGTGCTGCTGGTGCTGGAGGCGCTGGAGCTGGAGGTACTGGAGCTACTGACGGTACAAGTACCGCGCCGGGCTGACCGTTTTTCTACCCGCAGCCGCAGTCGTCCCTGCCGCCGCCTGACTCAGCCCTTCGCCAGGTTCTTAGTCTCCCGTCTTCCACTGGCCTCACTCCACCTCTCCTGTGTCCATCGACAGACCAGTCTCAGCTACAGCTACTGCCTGGCTCCCCGCTGCCTGCTCCTACTCCTCACACTGGGGTGACTGAGTCCCTGACTGAGCGTCGTGAGCCTCATACTCGTGCTTCCACACATGTTCGTGCTCGTCATGTCGCCCGTTCTCATCCTTCTGCTGTCCCAGGCACTCACGTTATGGCACTTCGTCCTTCCTATGTTCCACAGCGTGTTGCCCTGCCGTCTCCTCCGGCGTCCTCTCTTCCGGACGTTCCTGACCCTGAGTCGGACCTTGCTCGTGCTGACAGTCCTACTGTCACTCGTCTCCTCGCTACTGTCGTCACTGACCCTGACTTTGAGTCTACTGCTGCGTTTGCCCTAGTCAATGAGCAAGTCGACTTTGCTGCTAGGAGTCGTCTCGACTACGTCGCGAGTCTTGTTACTGAGTCTGAGTCTGTTTGTCATCCGTTCGTTGGGGGTGAACCTGCCCTTGGCAGTGACGTCCTTGAGTGTCAGAATCCCAGCCACCGGGATAAAAGGACTTGTTAAGTAGCGGGTCAGTGCGCCCATAACCCCCCAGGACAACGAGCCTGTAACCCTTCCCTAGGATCAATCGGGGATCACCAGTGGACCTCTGACACCCCCCCGCACTGGGATGCCCAAAGTGCACACACTCGGATTCGAACCCGAGACCTTCGCTCTGATACCATGTCAAAATCCCAGCCACTAACCACTGGGATAAAAGGGCTTGTTAAGTAGCGAGTCAGTGCGCCCATAACCCCCTAGGACAACGAGCCTGTAACCCTTCCCTAAGATCAATCTGGGATCACCAGTGGACCTCTGACATTGAAGACAGGCAGTTTAAGCTTGAGTGTCTTGCGGCCGTTTTACCTCGTTTCGCATCCATGCTGCTTTGCCCTCAGGGAGACCCGGATGCACTTGACATCCCTACCCCGCGCTCTTACGATGAGGCGATCGCGGGTAAGTACTCCTCTCAGTGGCAGATAGCCATGGACGCGGAGATGGCTTCCTGGAAGTCCACAGGCCCCTACGTCGACGAGGTTCCTCCTCCTGGGCCGAACATAGTCGATGGCATGTGGATTTTCAGAGTGAAGCGGCCGCCGGGTTCTCCGCCTGCCTTCAAGGCGCGATACGTTGCTCGAGGCCTCAGTCAGGGACAAGGGGTCGACTACTTCCATACATTCTCCCCCACCCCGAAGATGACTACTTTTCGGGTGTTGCTGCACGTTGCAGCATAGCGAGACTACGAGCTGCACTCCCTCGACTTCTCCACAGCTTTCTTGCAGGGCAGCCTTCACGAGGAGATCTGGCTGCGCCGCCCACCTGGCTTCACTGGGTCGTTTCCTGCTGGTACCCAGTGGAGCCTCCGGGGGCCAGTCTACGGTCTCCGCCAGGTGCCCCGCGAGTGGCACGACACACTGAGGACGACACTTGCGGCTCTTGGGTTTGCTCCTTCCTCTGCTGACCCGTCGCTGTTTCTACGCACCGACACTTCTTGGCCGCCGTTCTACGTTCTCGTGTACGTCGACGACTTGGTTTTTGCTACTGCTGACACTGAGGCGCTGGCACTAGTGAAGGCGGAGCTGCAGGAGAGACACACATGCACTGACCTGGGTGAGCTGCGGAGCTATCTTGGCTTGCAGATCACTCGGGACAGAGCACAACACACCATCATCCTGACTCAGTCACGCATGGTGCACCAGGTCATTCAGCGCTTCGGCTTCCATTACTCCTCGCCACTGCCCACTCGTCTGCCTACTGGCCACTCGCTCTCAGCTCCACCTTCGGACGAGTCCGTAGAGCCGAGTGGTCCGTATCCAGAGCTTGTGGGTTGCCTCATGTACCTGATGACGTGCACACAACCTGACCTCGCGTACCCTCTCAGGCTCTTGGCTCGCTACGTGGCTCCCGGTTGACACCGAAAGGTGCACTGGGATGTTGCGAAGAGGGTACTGCGTTACTTGTGCAGTACATCGGGCATTGGGGCTCATGCTTGGAGGACGGGGTTCAGTGGTATTCACAGGACACCCCGACGCTTCTTGGGCCGACGACCAGGCGACTCAGCTTTCAGAAAGAGCTCTTGATATCTATATTTATACCTGCATGTTTCCTGTTGCTGTTATCAGTGTACTGCCTTGCTATTTTAACTCTGCATGTGAACTGGCCTTGTGGCCGCTTGCTTGTGCTCAGAATGAGTGGTGATCTTGAGATTCACCCTGGGCTTTGCATTGCTTTGTTCTCTTGCCTGACTGGATTTGTGACAGTTTGTTGTGTTGGTTATCCCTCACTTCGCCTAGGGGGGTGTGTCAAAACATATTTGTATGTTCTTAGTTCTGCTAGGCTACAGTTAGATGCCCAGTATTGAGTGCAGGCCCTCAGATATCATCCTAAAACACGCTGATTACGCTGAAAATGCAGCTGTTTTTTTTACTTTACCTGAAAATTCAGTTTCCCTGTATATTTAGAACTGTTAGATCAGTTTAACGATGCCAGTTCACACTAACAATTCAGTGTTGTGGTGTACTAGCAACACTGATGAGTCAGTATAGTGTGGGGGACAACATTGATCCACACTTGACCGATTTCGGGCGGGGGTACAGCACAGAGCACGTGAATATTGCTGACAGGTTGCGTTCCGCCTGAGATTCCCGCTCCACCACCAACACATAGAAAACTTTCAGTGCGCTGTATTGATTTACAGGTTGCGCGCCGCTGTATTGATTTACAGGTTGCGCGCCGCTGTGATTTGCCAAGCTGTGACGCCAACAGTGAGTCAGCCACTCGACGTGGGTAAAACTGCCCAATGAGAGCAGTGACACCACATCATCTGCAGAGGGCAAACACGCTGTGCACGTTTCTCCCTCTAGCCCAGAAACACGGCCACGACGGGCCCAATTTGTAGGGTTTTTTTTACACTGATGGTTCAGCATACCGTGGAAATCAGCACTGAGAAATTCAGTATAAAGCCAACTATGAGCGCTGAAAAATCAGTGCAAACCCGAAAAAAAATACACACAGCACTGATTGATCAGCCTGCCCTCAAACCAATCTGAGGGCCTGATAGAGTACAACCCCTGTTAGAGTTTCACACTTGTATCTCCCTGTTGCTAGTCATTCATCATTCTTGCACATATACTTCTGACAAATACAACTTAGCATTTCTTATCATATCCACTACGATGCCGGTTATATCAACATTTTGGACTGATGCATCATTCATACATTGCATTTTCAGCCTTGTTATGGAAATGCGCGCTGAATGCAAAACCAACATCCCAGCTAAAAGTTTTCTCGCTAAGGGTTCCTCCTTCTTGTGAAGGATTCTTCTGGTAGTAGTTTTCATGGTAAATGGTATCATATGCCTCTCACATTTAGTTTTGGGCTGGAAATACGCTGAAAATGAGTATACAAGCAGTCACATCTTCCTTCTCTTCACAATGGACTTTTTTACAATGCTGTGTTATAGCATTGTCAAAGCGTTCATATTACCCAGAACACTACAACCTCTATCTACACGATCTCGTTTCAAAATGGTATTTAGAATAGCGAGTGTCGATATCATCGTCGGCTGCCCGCGGACACTTTTTAGCACTGCAAAAGGGCGCTGACTTGTGCACGAGCAAAAATACGGCCTCGTTCAAGGAATGGTTGCTCGTTTCCACATTCGGGAATTTGCTTGTTTTTATTTATTTTATACAGCAGCATATCAGCCAATCCCAGCCCGAACAGCAAATATCGTTCCACGAACAACAAACTCGTTTGAACGACTCGACTAGAAATTGGCGCCGCGCATCGTGAACGCGCCGCATCAGCACACGTTCATTGAGCGGTTCGATTCCGCATTTCGTTTCATCCAAATGTAGCACACGTCCTCCGCTCTCCCCTCCCACGCAATGCACGAAACAAATTGCCAGCAGCAAATATCCCCCTCGCGCTCCTAGAACACTTCCCTCACCAACCAATCCCACTTCGGTCGTTCCCTCAGGTGGTCCAGCTCAACACACACCGACCAAATACGCCACCATGCTTACCTTCATCACCGACCAGCGGCCGACTTACCTTATCAGCGGCACGATCTTGACCCTTTCTCCTCATGGTCTGTGGCTGCTGCCTACCGCTCTTATAAAATGCGCCGCAAACCTACGGTACTCATCACATACAGTTATCCTCCATCCCGAGTACAACTTCGCAAAGCTTTTCCTAAAGTTTCCTCTTCCAGCCCAAGGCACATCTTTCTCTGCCCAGTTCATCATCAGCCGCTGCAGCCATGGGGCGTTCCAAGACCTTAGTCGTCCTGCTCGCGCTCTCACTGCTCGTATCCCTCGCGCTGGTGCCATGCCGCGCGGATGAGATGGTCACTGAAGACGACGTAGACGATGACGTGTCGGACGTCGCCGATATCGCAGACGCGTCGCCTTCGGGTGCGTTAAATCACTTCTTCCCAACCAATGCTCTGTATATTCCTTGTCGTCATTCCCCCTTCGCGCCCCCGCCCCTCCCCTTGCCCATCATCTCGCGTTTCGTGAATATGTAAAGCTATTGTTCAAGCTTTCCTCTTCCCTGCCTTTGGATGTTTCCAGGTGTCGTGAGGGCGCTGTTGGGCGCGAGCAGGCGGTTCCTGTGGTCGAGCGAGATGCACCGCATGCTGTCGTGCAAGTCGGACTGCGAGGATAAGAACAAGGAGTGCAACACGGATTACAGCGAGTGCAAGCGCGAGAACAAGGACGACGAGCACAAACACCACAAGTGCTCGCACACGTACAAGAAGTGCAAGAAAAAGGCCAAGAAGTGCCGCTCCAAGTGCGACTAGAGTACAAGAGGCAGGACGTTGCAACGAGATGATCCTGATAGAATTACTCCCGAATATACAGGCGTTGGTGACGGGATCAGAGGGTAAACCAGGGTGGCTGTCCTTCTGGTGACATACACTAGGTAGCATTAAGTTCATGTTTATACTGACAAGTGTTCAAATTGAGAATCTATGGTTCCAGATGAAATATAACGGGCTGGCAAACTTAACACCTCATCAGTTCAGCCCATCCTCAGGTGTTACCACTCCCAGAAAACATTCCCAGACAAGCAACTTTCAGCGCATCACCTCGTCCCACACTGAATGAAACTCCGCTTCTCCACAGAAACCTGACCCTGTGCCACCTGGAGGTTGCTGGCAGCACACAATCAAATCTCAAGTGAGTCTAATGTCTAGGCAAGACTACTCAGCTCATACCACCCACTGGCCGCAGCACATCTTAGGAGCAAACCCACCAGTCCACCTGCTGACTTCGGGTCATAACCTTTTCTTGCTGGCCCATCACAAGTTGCAATACCTCTTACTGGTATGGTGCCATTGCCATACCACCACCAGCAGCCTACTCCCCGCGGCCCATCAGTCGTTTGAACTTTGCACCCACACCACCCAGTCCAGCAGCACTGCCAGAAGCAGATGGCACAACCAGGAACTCCCATGCACAAACCCTTGTCTACTCAACAGCTTTCCCTCTCTCCCACCTGGGAAAATGAACAGGACTATGGACATGAGCGTCAAGTGACACTACGAGTAAAGGCAGATGTACGGTAGGTGCAGGCATATTATTGTGACCGCATACATTTGGCAGGACGAGAGCCAAGTGTCTTCAAACTCGACACGATTTTCCTGCGCTAGGCAGACCCCCGGGGGCATCTCGTAAGGCCATCGCGGCGCCCCTCGAAGCTCGTCATCGCCTAGGTCGTGCGACCGTCGGCCCCACCCCGTTAGCCAGCCCCGCTGCCTTAGCCCCGCGCCATTAGCAGCTGCAGTGCGCTCGCCCGCGGTCACTGCGACGTGGTGCCAATAGCAGCACTAGTACGCCAGTGATAGCAACTAGCAGCGCCAGCAGCAACAGTAGGCTGCCGCCAGTAGTGCTAGCAGCAGCTAGCCGCCGCTAGCAGTGCTAGCATTAGCTAGCTGCCGAGCAGCCAGCCGCCGCCAGCAGTAGCTAGGCTGCCGCCAACAAGCGCAAGTAGCAGCTAGCCGCCGACAGCAAGTGCCAGGTACAGTTAGGTTGCTGCCAGCAAGTGCCAGCATCAGCTAGGCTGCTGCCAGCAAGCACCAGCAGCTAGCCACCGCCAGCAAGCGCCACCAGCAGCTAGCCACCGCCGCCAGCAATTGCCACCAGCAGCCGCCCAAGTGCCCGAGCCATCTGTGTCTACCATTAGTTCTCTCGTGCCCGAGCAACCGTTACCGCCATAGCCGCCCTCGTTTCTCGGCTCTGCAGAACGTACCCTGCCAGCGCAGCAGAGAGTGGCTTTGCAACACTGCAGCAGAGTGGTCTGCCAGCGTTGCACCACGGCGGTCTGCCAGCACTGCAGTCGCAGGTGACTATCTGCGTACATGTGCGCACCTACCAAGTATGTGCAGGTCGACGGTTTCACCGTCAGGGACATTACGCAGGTGCCAGGTAGAAAACGTGTCGTCGGTTTCGCCAGGTGCTCACCGTCGAGCACGTGATGCCGTTCCGCAGGTCGAATTTTGCCAAAACTTCATGGGCGAATTTCGCACACCTCCGCAGAGTTTCGCACACCTGTGCGAATTCGGTCGACCAGCTCGATGCCGCTCGGTCGAACAGCGTTCTCCGAGCAAAGCTCGTCGACCAGAGCTCTTCGACCAGGGCTCCTCGACGGGTCTCGCCGACGGGCTCGTCGACCGCTGTCGTCGACCAGCGCATCTCGACCGACTTCGACGACCACTGTCGTCGACCAGCGCCTCTCGACCGACTTCGTTGACCTTTGTCGTCGACCAACGATGCACGTCGACGTCTTCGACCTGATCTCGTCGAGCAGAGTCTGCTCGACCACCACTTCCATCGAATAGTGAGAACCTCCTCGACGACCACTCCGTCGAGTTCTCCTCGTCGACGGCGAGATTGCCTGCGCCCAAGAGAGAGCGGGGCCTTTCTCTTCGACAGAGACACCCCACCAGCTCTTCAGGGATATGAGCCGAGAGCTTATGGTCACGAGCAAGAGGAGTGGGCTGTATTAAAGAGAAGTGAAGGCTGAAATGGCTGAGGATCTGCTACACCATCTGACAAACCTCGAGATTCCATCCGCCATGGATACTATCCCGGCGACTTCGGAAGCCACAATGTCGCTCAATTTCTTGCCTGATGGAAGTTCTAAGCTGACCACTGGTTACCTCTCGCGGAGCTCTATAAGCAGATACCTTTTTCGTGTTCATACAGTGAACATTTATCATGCTTATAAACTTACGCTGTTTCCTATGGTCCAGTCAACTTCAAGGGAAGAACAATGGCGACAATGCATTCTCAAGGCTTATCTTGACAAACAAAGTTTCCGCAGTAGGAAGCCTATCGGCAAGGCTAAAGCTATTACCAAGGCTCGCGTTATTGTCAAGGCTCGAGATCGCCATGGTCGTTTTAAGGATTATAAAAAGCGACACAAGCATAAATGGAGTCATAAAGTGAAACTCTCAGGCTACCAGGCAACCTTGTTTCTCCAGTCTCTCAACATGCCGCATAAGAAGTTGAGTGTGAGAGTACGACGGCTTATGCTTGCTTATTATGCTATATCTAGCTTGGGTTTATTTTATCATGCATAGATATGCTTGATTTCCTAGGTTAGGTGCATTCCTATATGTTATTATAGTTATAGCACCGAACCAGGTTACGTGTACCGAACTCAAGCCTATTCGGTTTCCACCGAATTGCTTTCTACTGAGTTCGGGAAGGTTCTGTTCGGGACGCTTCGCGACCCTCAGAACATTCGCGTAACACCTGGGTTACCTGCCTTGTGTCGAGCCTATATATAGCCTCGTATTGTACCCAGGTGAATCATTGAATTCAAACCCACTTTTCTGAGCTCGATCCTAGATCCTCACACTTGGTAATCAGAGCCCGTTTACACGCGAAAGTTTTTCGACCGCTAAAACCGAGTCTTCAAAAAACCGCGGGGGCGACGCCTGTTAAACACCGATTTCGGGTACGTAAAACCGGTTCCGTGTTTTTCGCTCCCCCTCGTTTCGGTTTTTTTCGAACGCGCAATGTCAGGCATGGAGGGCCAAGGCGACAATTACGCGACGACGAGCGACATCGCAAGCCTCCGCACCGACATGGAGCAGACGCAGGCAGCGATTCGGCGACTCGAGGCCCTTCTGACAAGCCAATCCGCAGCCGCCACCGCAGCAGTCAATGCAGCAGCGAACGTAGCAGCGACAGTAGCAGCAGCGGCAGCGACACCGACTTTTCACGGACCGATGGCACCACCGACGCCGAACCTCGAAGCAGCTCGCCCGAGGCTCCCCGAAGCGTTCGATCCAAGCGCGAAAGGATCTGACGTTCGACGTTTTGTGGCGACCCTCGAAATTTATTTCGAGGCCATTGGCTGTTCGACCCCGACACACGACGCAGCACGAATTCGGCTCGTAGCGACACTGTTGCGGGGACCAGCACTCGAGTGGATATATTATACTGACGTGGCCCGCGGGGAGAAAACGTGGCAGCAGTTCCGGGCGGATCTTATCGAACGCTTCGAACCATTCAACTCAGTCTACATGGCGCGGCAGCAGATTCACCGACACAAACAGTACAGCAGTGTATCACAGTATACGCAGCAGATGGAGTTACTGTTCAACCGAATTACTGACCTGACCGAAGGCGAGAAATTCCAGGCGTACACCGAAGGATTAAAAAATGGAGATTCGACGGCAGGTGATTTCGGCGAACTACAGTAGCTACCGCGACATCGTACGGGCAACTGAAAGGTACGACGCGTTGACGCGAGGTCAACCCTACACACGACGCTACGGGCCAAACCGTACATTTGGCCCGGAGCGATCGGCACCCCCCACGTTCACCGAACCGATGGAAATCGACAAATACGACGCGAAGCAGCAGCCGACAAAATGCGAATTTTGCGGCGCAGCGGGGCATCAATTTTTGTCATGCTACAAAATGAAAAAGGCACGTGCGGCACTGCTGGGCGGCAACAGTGGAGCACCCCCGAAGTAAAAAAACGGGAATCGTCAGTAGCCACGGATCGACCTGGCGATCGCGTAAAGATCCGAAAAGCAGAAAAAGGCGACGACGTGGCGACTTCGGTGTCAAACATTATACATGTTCATATTGTGTAGGCTATAGTGGGTTTAGCCTTAGGGGGTACAACATTGCTAGGGTTTCCTACTTGTATCACCCTACTGCCTAGTTTCATCCATTCTTGTTCAGTTCTACATTCTAACATGATATCCGACGCCTAGGTCAGGACCTAGGACCGACGTTGGTTAGGGCCCACCGTTCCGCCGCGCCCTTGCGCGACCGTGTCTGATAGTACCTCGCGCCGTCGTGCGCCCCTACCCGCGCCGTCGAGCGCCCTTACTAGCGCCGTCGAGCGCCCCCCTTCTAGCGCCGTCGTGCGCCCTGTTGCTAGTTGCGCGCTGCCCACTAGCCTTGCACGCAGCCCCTCGCGGCCCCGTGCAGCCCCGTGTGCCGTCCGCCTACCTACCCGCGCCCTCGAGCGCCTGCCTACCCGCGCCCTCGAGCGCCAGCCTACTCGCGCCCTTGAGCGCCTGCCTACCCGCGCCCTCGAGCGCCACCCTGCCGCCCTGCCCTGCAGGCCGCGCGCGGGCCTGCTCTGCACCCGTGCAGCCGCCCCTGGACCCCGAGGCGCGGCCCCTGGACCCCGCGACGCGTCGCCCTGCTCGTCGCGACGCCTCTGCGGGACCCGCGCGTCGCCCCTGCCTCGTCGCGACGCCCCTACGGGACCCGCGCGTCGCCCCTGCCTCGTCGCGACGCCTCTGCGGGACCCGCGCGTCGCCCCTGC